GGTTGTCACTAACCAAAAAAATCAGTATTAACTTCCAAATAAAAAATCTTTGTCCATCAAGAAACCCTCGGGATTAAAAAACCACCTAGTTAAACAGAAAAATAAAATGTAAATGTGTCCACATACCCTTGCTTCTGAAATATGTATTGCTTTGATAAATAAAGCTGGCGCTCTGTGATATTGCAGAAGTGATTAAGGGCCTGCAGTGTATTCTTCCAGTGGAAAAAGCTATATATAAAAAGAAAAGGAAAAAAAAAGTTCATTTGGCCCTCTTCATAGTTTATGTGATAAATGACTACAAGACAAGATGTTTCAGAGAACTATTTAAGTCACCTTTAATGTTTTTCTTATTAGATAAGATTTCTTCCAAAATGCCATAAACCAGAGTTTTTTAACAGTTATCCAAGGGATTATTTATTGTGAGTTCATCAGTCACTTCTTGTGGCCCCTTATTGCCAGCTGCTGAGATACTCTACAAGAAGTATTTAAATACTGTCCAAATATCATTGCTCCTTGTAAACAACTTCAAATGAAAGGGGTCAAGGCTGTTGTCATCAGGTGGGCAGGTGGAGAGAGGCAGAGGGCAGTTCAGGAGGCAGGCTCACCATCAAAATTGTTAATGCTTTTTGCCTAGGTCCGTATACTGCTTCATCCAAGAACAGTTTCTAGCCCCGTGGTTGCAACTTTGTACCAGGTTAAAACTTAGGCAGTCATGCTTTCTTATTCCTCCTCCTTCTCATCCCCCTCTTCTCCCCTCTTTTCCCTATATAATCTGTTCCTGCAGTAAAGAACCTGGGGCCAGGGAGGGGGTGCAGACCAGCAGCAGCACGGCCAGAGACTGCTGTGCGCTAGGGCAGAGACGCATGGCCCTCGACAGCAGCTCTTCCTGGAAAACGGAGATAACAGATAGATCCCTGTAGCTGGTCTGAAAAGATGTTCACCTCTCAGCAAGGTGAAGGACTCAAATTCCCAAATAGGATTTGTTGGGGTTTTTTTTCAGAATTCTTTCTCCATGACATAATATTGTTTTTACCTTGTGTGCCTTGGACAGATGATTCTTTTACCTCAAATATGACATTTTCAGGAGATAGAAATCCTGACATTTTCCAGTCATTTTCTTTCCAGCACCAGCTATAACTGCTTCTGGATGAGACTCTCTGGTCTTTGATCAGGTGGAGGCTTACAAAGTTGATGTGCAGCCCAAGAAGAGTTCTGCTAGAGGACTCCAATATGACCCATCAATTAGCAATCTCTCCAGATGACAGACTGGAGAGTGAGAAATTAATGGTATGAGAAGCAGGCAGACTGCTGTGGGAGTCCCTATGTCAGGATCTCTGGCCTTGCATACCACTGTGCTGAGCTGACTGACAACAGCCATCATCCTGCATCCTGGGACTTGCCATGCTGTCCTCTTCCATGGGATACGCTGGTTTTACTCTGGCCTTGAATTATGGTGTTTCATTCTCTAACCTGTAGAAAACAACTCTCACTTTTTGTTGGGTTAAGAGGCTGCAATGGACCAGAAGTGACAGACGCATGGGAAGGGGGCATCAGGACCTGAGAGGAGAGCAGGACTGTTGAAATGGCACAGGCCACCCCTAACATGCAGTCAGATGAGGTGGCTGAAATTGTTTGCTGCATCCTAAAGTGACAGTTCTACTCCTCCATGCTGCCCTTCTCTCTCTGCTTCTCTCTCTTTCCTCCCTGCTGTCATGGCTGAAACACCAAATGTCCTTCCTGCTCTTTGTGTTTGTCTCTTGTTTCACTGCATGTGAGCCGGTTCAACTCACTAATCCAGCAGAAAGTTCTAGACTTTTTTTGCTGGGCTGCATTTTTGCTGAGTCCTTGATTTGGTCCAACTCAAGGGAGAACTGGAAAGGCAACGGTTGATAGGTGGGTGCCACCAGAGGATGTGGATAGTGAAAGACTTGGGCCATCTCCATCCAGTGAAGATGGAGAAGATTTGCTGAACATCAAGGTTTCGCTTATCTGGTGGCATCTGGAGTGTAAAATTTTGCAGAGCAAAAATATTTGAGGCTGAAGTTTTCCCTAAGTTAGTTTTCTCAGTGAGATCTGCCTATAAGAAGAGGGGGACTCAAATGAACACTTGCAAGGATGTTCCTGATCCTTCCTAAGTCAGTGAAACTACCCTGAAGTAGAACACTACCAGTTCTAGCTATAATATGGGTATCTTAGAAGTAACTTTTGTTTTATAACCACAGGAATGTTGCTACATGGTTTAAATTTCTTTTGAAGATGGATAGTTAATTTGGTGTATTTGTATTAAAATCTGTTGAGTCTTTAGGTCACTTTTTAATTATTTTTTTTTCCCCCACACTTTTAAACATATAATATTAAAGCTAAACCTTGATGCTGGCTGAGATTTAGCTCAAGACCCCTAGCAATGGCCCAGGTGGAAAAGCTCTCAGGGGAGAAGTCTTTTTGTTGCTCAGCTCTCCCCTTGGCAATCTCTTTGTGATCCCACCACAACAGGACCTCAGTCTTTGTCTTTCTCTTAACCCTAACCCTAACCAAGTGCTGAGCTTTATCTAAGAGATCTCCAGACTTGGCCCTTTCTTTGCAGAAACCTTCTGTAAGAAACCCCTTTGCAACCCTCTGCTCCAAATGGACCTTTAGGCTTTGTCTCACATATTGCATTAGCTGTAACCCTAAAAGTGGCAGAAGCCTTTCCCCCAGACACCCTTCCCACTGACAGAATAAAAATGGGAATTTTTTTTTTGCTGCCCAAACTTTCCCTTGGCAGCCTCTTTGCAACCCCATCCCAACTGTAACACAATATTTTGTGTCTTTCCTAACTCTCTTGCCTAGAAATGGCCACAGAACTAACCCCTCACAAACCTAGCTGTGGCCAAAACAAACTAAATAAAAATAATGAGAGAATTACTTTTTTGCCCAAATTTCCCCTAGGCAGACATTTTGCAGCCATACTCCTACTGGACTCCTAGGCTTTGTCCCTCTTCTTATCCTAACCTTAGACATGGGCTGAACATTAGTCCGACACTCCAGGTAATATCTCAGATAGAATATTTCTCAGAGAAGACCTATTTTTGTTGGCCGAGACTTTCCTTTGTAGCTTCTCTGCAGTGCTAACACAACTGAAGCCCTGAGCTTTAACTGTCTGTTAACCTCAAGTTTACTATAGGTGTGTCCCATGTATTAGAAAATAAACCCCAAGGGTAGCCCAGATGAAGACCATCTCAAGGGAAAAGTTGCAGCTTGGCCATTGTCTGGGTTATGGTTATCATTGGGACTGAAGTTAGGAGAGAGAAAATACCTAGATCTGCCACAGAAGGATAATAGCAATGAGGCTGCCAAACCAATTCTTGTGGTTTAGGATCTTGGTCTAAGGCTTAGTGAATGTCTAGGTTTAGGACTGGGGTATGATGGTTAGGGGGGAGATAGACTATAGGGATCCAGTTAGTGAGGGGCTCCCAAGGGGCTACCCACAGAAGGTTTGGGCAACAGATATTAATCTCCCCTAAGAAATTTTTGTTTTGGACAGGGCAAGGGTTGTCTGGGTTTAGAGCTTCTGTCACTTTTAGGTTTAGGAGAATGACAATCAAGTTAAGAAGTGCTGCGAAGGTGCTGCCAAGAGAAGGTTTGGGCAGCCAAAGGTATTCTCTCTCCCCTTAGAAGTATGATCACTTTCTGGGATAGGTTTACACTTAGGGTTAGCAGAGATGCAAAACCAAGGGGTCCAGTTGTGGTGGGGTTGTAGAGGGCCTGTAGAGGGAAGGCGTGGGCAATGAAAAGAATTTTCCACTCTCCAGTTGTTCATCTTGGCCAGAGCTGGAAGTCTTTTGGTAAGGCCCGTCCACACCTAGAGTTAAAGTTGAGACTTTAGAGAGACAAAGCCTTGGGGCCAGTAGAGGGGAGTTGCCCAAAGACTATTAATGGATACAGCAGGCAGCAGAAAGAATTCCCTCCTGAGTTTTTAATCTAGGACACAACTGTCCTTTGTTGTCTCATTTCCCTGACTTTCACTTGTAGGATATCATGTTTATTTCCATTAAAACACTTGCTGAGAAGTATGAAGTACAGATGTGTCGTGATGCCTTGATATGTGTAAACTAAAAACAAAATTACAAACAATCCTATTGAAAATGATCTCCAGATAGAATATAAAAGTTGAAATGTCCTGTAATGTTATGGAATACAAACTGTGTATTAGAGGGTCTGTGAAGAATCTGAAATTAAGTATGTAATTGGTAAGGAAACGTAAGAGTCATAATACAGAAGATAGTGTATGGGGGTGAGTGAACGACATTTCTAATGACCTGTAAGACAGAAATGGCAGGAGTGTGAGGCTCCAATTACAAACTTGAACACAGTATGCAGTTTAAAAGTAAGCAGTGACTTTAAGGGTGTCATGAATACACATAACATACAGGTGGTAATTCAGGAAAATCACCCAGTTTGAATATGAAGCTGATGGATGCAAGCTCAGTCTAAAAGCACCCATCCTAGCTCAGAGGGAACTGTACACATAAATAACACGACTGACAATTTCTTGCCACTAATGTGAAATCCCCAGATATAAGAATTGAATGGTGACTTGAACAGAATTCAGAATTTCCTGGGGTTTTAGAACATCAAGTTTCAAATTCCCTGAAATTCAGATTTTGTGTTCTGGTCCCAGTTAGGCTGGTCAATTTTGTCTTCGTTTTTGTAGTGCCTGATGCATAAACTGAAAAATAACCTGCCTCCTCTAATACATTTTTTTAGGGAGGATAACCCTAGCAAATACCTCTGAAGAGATGTTAGTTCTTCCTTTGCACTGAAAAAATTAGCTAACACCTCACAGAAGCTTCACGAGGATGCCAGTATTTTCATAACAGCTGAGGCAGGAACCATGTGTATCACATTGCTGTAACAGTGCTATTCACATTCTGTTAATGTGAATCTCAAACTAAATTGCTCCCTATTATTGTACTGTAGCAATGATGATGGTTATTTCTATGATTTCTATTTGTTATTAGGAACTCTATTGTGTGCAGCTGCTGCAAGTTGCAGCCTCCTTTTCAGCTCTGAGTATCATTTGCCTTCTTTGCCTTTCACATTGAGGGGGACAAAAAATCAAAGAGGGGGAGGATCACCAACTCACGTGGCAGCCCATGTGTACAAAGAGATGGCAACCTGGATGACAAACCAGCACCTGAACCAGCATCCCCAGCAACGATGGGCTGTGAACAAAAGACTTCGATCATGTGACTATGCGGGTTTTGATTAGGGTGTCACACAGAAAAAAAGATGGGGAGTGGGTTGTTTTTTGGTTTTGGTTTTGGGGGGTGGGGGGGGAAGGTATTTAGTAGACTATTAGGGTGGCCAGAAAGAAATAAATTTCATTGACTAGTATTTGGAAAAGGAACATGTCTGTGTATGTGTACTCACTTGTGTGCTCTGGAGAATAAATCAGGAGCAGAGGGGCAAGGGTAGAGAAAGGCTCCAGGACTCCTTCAAGAAATGGTGAAGCTGAGGCAGGGACGCCAGTATAGGAGTATCCAAGGGTTGATTAAAAATGAGTGGTTTTACTAAACAGCAGTCCTGACCTTCAAGTGGTGAATTCATTTAGCTTTATACCTCTCAAATGTGGCTTGTGTCTTTCTGAAGTTATCTACAGGGCTGTAAAAATTTGGTGCCCACTCAGTGTTGTAACTGGATGACAACAGACAGATCAAGATCATTAAAATAATTTTTTTCTTGCTTAGTTCTTAAGCAATACTTTTGCTTAATGCTACTTTCCTTCTGAAATGCAGAAGCATCTGACCATTACTCTCATTCACTGTGGGTGCTGTGTTACATTTGGGTCTCTAGCCTTGGGTTGTGGCAAACCGAAGACTGTGGCGTTTTCATTTCAGCCTGCCTGCAGATCTGGTTATTGTCCTCATACAGCTGACAGCAAGCACAAAATGCTGCTCTTCAGGTCTTGTCTGTACCTAGATGAAAGGATGCCTGTCTCTCCAGTATGCATTTAGCACTTTGCTTTCAGCAATCCCAAATAAACCTATAGTGTAATAAATAAGTTCAAAATCTCTTCTTCGTCTTTGCCTCAGATGAGAAATCATGAACAATACTCAGATATACTGCTTACACTTGCTCAATAATTTTCCTGTCCAATGAACAACTTATTTTCAGAGCCAAATGGATTAAATACTCTTTGGTCTTTTTCTCCTGTGGGTCTAACTGAAATAGTTTATTTCTTTACATATAGAACTGTTTGACGTGTATCTAGGTTTAACAGGAATGGGTTAGCTTTAATTCTAAAAATAAACAATAGAAACAATAAAATTGTTTATCATCACTAAAGACTGAATGAAAGCCATTCGCTGTTCATGGTATTTAGCCTTTACCACATCAAGCCCTACCTGATTTTGAACAGGGCAAACAATTTTCACTTGCACAGTAGGCACTCTGAGCTCCTCTATCTGGTCTCCATTGCAATTAACATTGAAATAATGATGTGTAACACGTTCATTGCAGAGGGAAGACATGAGGTAGGTTTTCAGAAAGACATATCTGGTGTGGAGATGAATTATTTACGTAGCTTAACTGTAGATCTGGGTAATAATTCTGTCATCATATGCTACCTCACCCACTCCTCCTGTCCTCAGTCAAAATGATAAACCCCCTGAAAGTAAATTACTATATTTAAATTCTAGAGCATTATTTTATTTGTACTTATACATGTCTTTTAATACGGTGAATTTAAAAAAAAACTGAATTTGTCTACACAGTTTGATCTAAGCATATATTTAACACACAATCTGTCTGGCTAATGGCAGATACTGAGCTTTAACATTAAGAGGTATACCCACAAAAATTATTGAGTGATGCATCTTCAGACTTGGAGTCTACATGAACACATTCAATACTTTGTTAATAAATCATATCATCTGCCCTTTGTGCTCCTGTGATATTCTTCCAATATGTTTGGATGCTGAGTAGCTAGGAAGATGTGCTCACAAATGGTACTCAAAAGTGCTCAAATGGGAAGCAGGAACAAACAAAGAAAATTGAACTAATGTTTAATATGGTGATTATTTCTCTGTCAGTTCTAGTGTTCTAGCACTATATCTGGGGCTGTAAAATTGTCACAAGCAATCCCAATTAAGAGTTCTAATTTTCTGGATTGAAATTCCAATTCTTAAATCCCTTACAAACCTATACAAAGCACAACTTTTCTTACCATAGCTTGTCAATCAGAATCCATACTTAGTGATTCTGGTTACACCTCTTATGCCTCTGGTAATGCATTAATTTTCACCTGAATTGCAAGACAACAACAGAAACATTTCACTTAGCAATTTCATTTAATGTATGAGCAACCAGATTTTGTACAGTCTACCTTACTAATTCTAGTGGTGGCATACATTACTTTTCTTGTTAAAGTATCGCTATAAATTAAAATATAGATGGAGTAGAAGATCAATAAAATATGATATCTATGGGGAAAACATGATCTAGAATTGTCTCTAACCACAAAAAAAGAATGATTTTATGGGGCTGCAATATCAAATGATAAATTGTAAAATCCTAAATGTAATTTCTTTGCATTTTTATCTGGTTTTGTGGTAATCCAGACTCGTGCTTCATCTTCACACTCCTATGTTTGTTCTATATCTGGCATGCACAGCTGTTCATGTATATGCTTTCATTATTTTGACCTATTTAACATGTGTGGTGAGGGAAAAGCGAGCAGAATGTTTTTACATGTGCATTTAAACTGCATGACTGTATGTATGTATGTGTGAGTGTGTACGTATGCCTGTGTGTGATGGCTGGAGACAACTTATATGTGCTAAGTGCAGAGACCATGTGTGCAAGCATGTGATTTCACATTACGAATATCTACATTCAGCTTCATTGTTTTTCAGACAAGGGGTTTGGGCATGTTGTGTTTAGAATGGGCTCGCCTGGCATTAATTTTCTGCAGCTAATTCCCTTCAGTGTCTTATTTAAATTCATGCCAGTTGCTGTGCATGTGAAGCTGAAGGCCTCTCTTACATTAATAATGTACAGCGCAGTCCCACAATGACGCCTCCATGATGCCGGTTGTCCCAAGGTGCAGCTGAAATACACACAATGCAATGACTGCCCAAAGCCAGCCTTCCCCAGAGCCTCAGGGAGGAGCAGGCTGCACCCCTTCCTTAAATTCTTACTTGCTTTTATGTACTGAGAGTAGGAGGTCATGGGGATGAGGGAGGTGCTAATGGTAAAATTAAGACACACAACACTGGACACAATCACAGCAGCACTGTGATAATGCAGCACTGAGCACTTCTGCTTTGCAAATCCCCTGGCTCCGTTCCCCATTCACAGGACCCCCCTCTTTCCGTGGCGGGGGGGAGCTGACACATCTGGGGCACTCCAGACCTCGTTTTAAATAAAGGCTTAAATTGTGCTTGCATTCTGTTTCAGTGTAAGTTGTGTTCATGGTAAATAAAACTATAAGTCCAAGAACAATGGATACAATCATATTCGTATTTATATCTTTAAATTGTCTTTCTGATAGTTAAACTAGTATTTAAGCAATTTTCCTTTTGGTTTACAAACTTGATCTCAAAGCATGTCTATTCCCACAGCACACCTCGAAAGACTAGGTGCATTTTTTATACTTTTAGATCTATTCTACTATGAGAGAAAAACATTTCTATTTTCAAAGTGATGGATTTAGCAAAATGGGTGGATTTTCTGCTAATATTATTTGAACTTTACACAATTACCTGTCTTAAATTTTAGCAGCTGTTTCCCTGCCTGAAATGTATTTAATGTTATATTCCTTGTACACTACTTGTTTCATAGTAATTGAGGATGTGTACAATAGTACAGTTTTAAATGCAATCTGCCAGAGAACAGTTATTTTCTACTAATTATCTTAGCTAAAATAATAGAAATATTTTAAACTGTGCATGCCAACTGTTCCTTTAAATGCCAAAAGCTAAATATCTTCTGTGATTGTCTGTTCATTTTAGTGAAATAAAACAAAAGTACTGTGATGATTAGATACTTTGGGGCACCTTACAGAATGCTACTGTATTGCAGAACATAATAAAGCATTTTATTTTCCAGGAACTGCACAAATTAAAAGGAAACATAAGCCACCCAGGTGTGCTACATGACTCTGACAATGAAATATAATGCTTGATGATAGCTGAGGCAGAACTGCTCATTTACAGAAATTTTTTTTTTCTTTTATTTTTAGCTGTTCTCCTATTTATTTAAGAAAGGGGAAAAAAGTGGAATTTTGTTTTTCCAAAATTTTATGTCCTTAATATGACTCATCATATTAATGACAACTGAAGGAAATAAGCGCTTTGGGGCAAAGCCACCTGAATTCAAAGAATTTAAGTCTGTGGATGGCAGTACTGTTGTGGGATCCTTTAGAAAGATGAAAGGCCAATAGTGAGATCTTACTGATTCAAAGAATTGCCTTGGATTTGGAAATGTGAAGCTACTAACTCTGAGGAAAATATTTAAAATTAATTGCATACTAGTATTTTCTCTAGGATAAGTATTTTTTGAGCAAAAACATCCAGAGCCTTTTGGAGTCTCTGAATTTCTGATGGTAGCTCTTTATATGCCCCGGCAGCTGGTTGCCTTTTTTAGAGATGTCATGAATGCTAGAGATTTGGTTTTATCCCAGTTTGAAGTTTTCTACCTTATCAAAGGTTGAATAGATATTGTGCTTCCTACCTTACTAAATGCTTGCTGAGATTATCCTCTGTCACTTGCTATGCTTATTATCACTATATCCCCAAAGAACCATCCTCTCTGATGTGGTTCTTTCAGAAGTGTTATTTCATCATTGAAAAGATGGATTCCAAATGAAAAGGCACTTGCTACAGAAATGACATTTCATCTCAGGAAGATAAAAGGAGCTGCCTGTGGCTAGGTCTGGATTGTGCTACTTTTCTTACACTTCCCTATTGATTTTTCAGCTTCAGGCCTTCCTTGGCCTAAAACGGGGGATAATGTGAAGTCAGAGAGATTGTAACCATAGAAAGAACAGAGACAGTGTGAGATGGAGATATAGATCTCTTCTTGGGGTAGAAGATGATGTCTAGAGAGAATCGTGGGCCAGGAAGAAAGGAGAAAGCGGGATGAAGGGTCAAATAGAAGGAAGAAATGTGAAGTCAAGCCTTGAAGGGCTTGCTCATGTTGTGGTCGTATGTGATAAATCTGTGCCGTATCCCACTGAAGCAATGCCATGAGTAATCTGTCTTCTTGTCAATTTATGATAACAACAAAGTTTGGACTCAGTGGATCT